CCCGCGCGCGTGCAGGCAGGCCATCGCCACCCATCCCAGAGAGTCCCCCGCCCAGTTAGGGTGACTATCCGGGACCCGGTATCCGGGTCTACGACGAACCTCCGTCCCCCCTGCTTCAGGGGCGCCCGACTCTCACCTTCGATTTCCAGTCCCCCCTCTTCAACAAGAAATAATAATAAAATGTAATCGACATATTTGCAAATAAATTTAATTATCATGTAATGGATACAAAGCACTCATAATATCGAAAAAGCATGAATTCGATCACTATAATTATGCGCTCTTTTGAATAAAAATTCTGCAATATAATGTATATAATGGTTATCTCGAATTCCGTATCGAGGAATACCTGCACGCATATCTCTCCAAAGTCTTTCTATATTTTGTGTATGTACACCATTTTCAGGATTTACGAAATTTGTACTGTGATTCACTGTGAAATGTGTGAAATTTTCATTGTGTAAAGTATCATATGCGCGCCATTTATCAGAATGAATTATAGAACCGGGCGCGATATATTTTCGAATAATTGGCAGAAGTATTTCAGTAGATCGATTAGGTACAGGCAAAATGAACGTTTTCTTAGTGTTTCGTTCAATTTCACCGAAGACCCATTGTCTTCTAATTATTCGTCCAGAATTATATTTTCTTTTGTCTATCTTTGCCTCATTTCTACGATTATACCCTGTCCACCAATTTATTTTTGTTCAATTTCAATCCATCGTTGAAGTAACTAAAAATAATTTTGCACACAAATCTGTTTATTATGAGACATAAAAACAAAATGAACAGTATGTAACTTACCTCACGACAAAAATTTGTCCAATCAACAACAGTGTGATTTTCGAGTTGTAAATCTTCCATTAAAAATGTATGTCGTGGTGGTTGCATCATTAGAAAGTAAGTAATAAATCGACATATTGTAGAAAGCTCTAAACGTGCTTGTTCAAACCATGTCCCATGGAACGCACTAATTTTGAAGTTGCACGTTACTTTTCGAGTTTTCGTCGCTTTCGAGTTCTAGTCACATTATAATAGTGCTTTGTACAATGGAAAATATGATTTTCCCTAGCATTTGTTAATGTCAATACATTTTTAGATCTTGGACACAATATTTCTTTACGTACAACTTTTTTGTCACACAGAAAATTCCACAGATGATCGAAATTGTAAGTTATATGAATGATTTTATGTAAATACATTTTCAACGTTTCTAAAGCGTCTTACATGTATCGAAGTAATCTGACTGACTGAGATTAACTGAAACATACCGATCGATACTATTCACAATGACTGAAGAAATCAAAACAAACGTATATCAATACATTGTAATCCAAGATTAATGTACTGATCTCGCAAAACGAGATTTATCCCGTCTCCTTCTCTATTTAGGAAGGCAACGACTTTTTACGCGAAGGTAAGAGCTGTGCGTCCTTGAAGCAGGAGGTAGAGGGGGTGAAAGTCGAAGGTGAGAGTCGGGCGCCCCTGAAGCAGGGGGCAGGGAGGGTGAGAGTCGGGCGCCCCTAAAGCAGGGGGTAGGAGAGAGTGAGAGTCGAAGGTGAGAGTCGGGCGCCCTTGAAGCAGGGGGGACGGGGGTGA